CCCGGCGCGCGGGGGCGCGTGGCGAGGACATCCAGCGCACCTGGCAGGTGTCGCCAGGTGGGGCCCGAGCGCGGGGCTGCTGCTCTGGGGATGGGGGGTGGGGGCGCGAGAACGGACGAGACCCGCGCGTCCCCGGGGGAGGACGCCGTGAGTCCGGTGGGGGGTGGTGAGGGCGGACTTTCTTAAGATGCGGGAGGAAGACGCGGCCAAGTGCCAGCCGCCTCGGCGTCGCCACCGGTGTCTGATGGGCAACGCGCGCTCACCCGAAGGGCAATCCCATTTTAAAATGTTTTTTCCAGCTTTACTGAGACGATCGACATGTAACTGTGTAAGTTTAAGGTGTACGAGATGACTTCGGAAGGGCCGTCCTTGATTCCTGCCCGCGGTCCTCTGAAGCTCAGCGAAGGCGCCCCTGCCCCTGGGTTCAGACAAAACCCAGGATCCTTTCTTTGCCCAGACAGGCCTCCTGTTTTCATCCGCAGAGGCACGTCGGAGCCGCTCGGCTCTGCGCTTTCCTCCCCCGGGACTTCGGCCGTGGCTCCCAGCTCTATGCTTTTATCCACTTCCGACCTGTTTCATTTTTGTTTGCCACTTGAGGATTTTTTTTTTTTAACTTTTTATGTCTCCACCTCTACCTCGTTATGTTGCAGCAAATCCCAGACGTCGTAGGATTTCACAAAATGATACATTTTTTACACTTTCTTCGAGGTGAAATTCACATAGCATCTAATTAACCATTAATGTACAGTTGTTTAGTGAAATTTAGTATGTTCACAATGTTGTGCAACCACCATTATATACTTTCAAAACATTTTCATCAGCCCCAAAGAAAACTCCATACCCATTAAGCAGTCACTCGCCCACCCCCTTCCTCCCATACACTGTCAACCACCAATCAACTTTCTGTCTCTATGGATTTATCTATTTTGGATATTTCATATAATGGAATCATACAATATTTGTCTTTTTGTGTCCAGCTTCTTTCACTTGCATAATGTTTTCAAGGTCCATCCAGGTTGTAGCATGTGTCAGTACAATATTCCTTTTTATGGCAGAGTCATATTCCATTGTGTGGATATTCCACAGTTTATTCGTTGTTGATAAACATGTGGGTTATTTCCACCTTTTGGCCGTTGTGACTAGTGCTGCTATGAACATTCATATACAAGTGTTTGAATATGTATTTCAATTCTTTGGGGTATGTGCCTAAGAGTGGACTTTCTGGGTCATATGGTAATTCTGTTTAACTTTTGAGGAACTACCAACTGTTTTCCAAGCAGCTGAACCATTTTACATTCCAATCAGCAATGTACAAGGGTTCCAATTTCTACACATCCTTGTCAACACTTGTTACTTTCTGCTCATGTGATTATTGCCATCTTAGTGGATGAAAGAGAATAAATAATTTCTTTGGATAAATATCTATTCCCTCATTTTTTAATGGAGTTGTTTGTCTTTTTGTTGTTCAGTTATAAGAATACTCTATATATTCTGAATACTAGATCCTTATCAGATATATGATTTGCAAATATTTTTCCCATTGTAGATTGTCTTTTCACTTTCTTGACAATGTCCTTTGATGCACAAAAGTTTTTAATTTTGATGAAGTTCAATTTATCTATTTTTTTCTTTTGCTGATTGTGCTTTTGGTGTTATTTCTAAGAAGCCACTGCCAAATCCAAGGTCATGAAGATTTACCTCTGTTTTCTTCTGATTTTAATGGTTTTAGCTGTTATATTTAGATTGTTGATCCATTTTGGGTTAATTTTGCATGTGATGTGAGGTAGGGGTCCAAGTTTATTCTTTTGCATGTGAATATCCAGTTGTCCCAGCACCACTTGTTGAAGAAACTACTCTTTACCCATTGAAGGGTCTGGCACCCATGTTGAAAATCAATTGGCCATAGACGTAGAGTTTATTTTTGGACTTTCTATTCTATTCCACTGTTCTATATGTATATCCTTATGCTGGCACCACACTGTTTTGTTCACTGTAGATTTGTGGAAGGCTTTGAAATTGGGATGTGTGAGTCTTCCAACTTTGTTCTTCTTTTTCAATATTGTTTTGGCTAATCAGTGCCCCTTGCAATTCCTTATGGATTTAAGGATCAGCATTACCAATTCTGCAAAAAAGGCCATTGGAATTTTGATAGAGATTGCATTGAATCTGTAGTTTGCTTTGGGTAGTATTGCCATCTTAGCAATATTAAGTCTTCCAATTCATGAACATGGGACGTCATTCCATTTATTTACATCTCCTTTAATTTCTTTCAGCAATGTTTGTCATTTCTAGTGTACAACTCTTTCACCTCCTTGGTTAAATCTATTCCTAGGTATTTTATTCTTTTGGATGCTGTTGTAAGGAGAATTATTTTCTTAATTTAATTTTCTGATTTCTCATTGATGGGTACAGAACTGCAACTGATTTTTGTGGGTTGATCTTCCACCCTGCCGCTTTGCTGAATTCATTTATTAGCTCTAGTGCTTTTCTTGTGGATTCCTTGGGGTTTTCTATATATAAGATCCTGTCTTCTGCAAACAAAGACAGTTTTACTTCTTCCTTTCTGATTTAGATGCCTTTTATTTCTTTTTCTTGCCTGATTGTTTTGGCTAGAACTTCCAGTACAGTGTTGGATAGCAGTGGTAAAAGCAGTCATCCTTGTCTTATTTCTGATCTGAGAGGAAAGCTTTCAATCTTTCATCACTGAGTATGATATTAGCTGTGACTTTTTCATAAATGCCCTTTATCATGTTGAAGAAGTTCCTATCTTTTCCTACTTTTCTGAGTTTATCATGAAAGGGTCTCGGATTTTGTAAAAAAAAAAAAAATTTCTGCACCAGTTGAGATAATCATGCATTTTTTAAACCTTCATTCTATTAATGTGGTGTATTGCCTTGTTTGATTTTCATTGTTTAATCACCCTTGCATTCTTGGAATGATTCCCACTTGGTCATGGTGTATGATCTTTTTAATATGCTGTTGGATTTAGTTTGCTAGTATTTTATTGAGGATTTTTGCATCTATATTCATAAAGGATATTGGTCTATAGTTTTCTTTTCTTCTAGTGTCTGCCTGGCTTTGCTATCAGGATAATACTGGCCTCATAGAATGAGTTATAATGAGTTCCTTCCTCCTCAATTTCTTTGGAAAAATTTGATAAGGATTGGTGTTAATTCTTCTTGAACTGTTACCTTTTAAAAGTTAGAAGAGGAGGGAACACATCCCAATTCATTCTATGAAGCTAGTATTACCCTGGAAAAAAATAACAAAGACATCACAAGAACAGACCAATATTCTGTTTAAACATGGATGCAGAAATTCTCAACAAAATATTAGAAGACCAAAAGGTTAATTTACTATCCCAAAATTAATAATGTTATATACTATATCAACAAAATAAAGGATTAAAAACTACATGATCATCTCAGTAGATGCAGAAAAAGCATTTGACAAAATGTGACACTCCTTCATGATAAAAACACTCAACCAACTAGGAATAGGAAGGAACTTTCTCAACCTGATAAAGAATACCTACAAAACAACCAGAGCTGACATCATTCTTAATGGTGAAGAACATGAATGCTTTCTCCCTACGATAAGACATGGATGGTCTCCTGTCGCTTCTTTTTAAATTGTTTTGGAGGTTCTAGCCAGGGCAAATAGCAGGAAATTTGAAAAAATTGGAAAGAAAGAAGTAAAACTATCTCTGTCTGCAGATGAAAGGATATTGTAGATAGAAAATCCTAAGGAATCCATTAAAAACTATTAGAACTGATAAGCGAGTTCAGCAAGGTTGCAAGATACAAGATCAACAGACAAAAATCAGTTATATTTACAACACTTGCAATGAACAATCTGGAAAATTAAGAAAACAATTCCAATTACAATAGTCTCCAAAAGAGTAAAATACTTATGAATAAATTTAACAAAAGTAGTGTACAACTTATCCTCTGAAATCTATAAAACATGTTTTTTTAATTAAAGAAGATCTAAGTAAATGGGAAGACATTCTGTGTTCATAGATTAGAAGGCTTAATGTTCATAGAATGGAGGCTTAATAAAATAGCAATTCTTCCCAAATTTATCTACAGCTTCAGCACAATTCCTATTAAAACCCCAGGTGGCTTCTTTGCAGAAATAGATAAGCTGATCCTAAAATTCATACAGAAATGCAAGGGAACCTGAGTAGCCAAAACAATCTTGAAAAAGAAGAGCAAATTTGGAGAACTTACACTTCCCAAATTCAAGCCTTGCTACAAAGCTACACAGTTACCATAGGACCCAGCAATTCCACTCCTACTTACTGGCATAAGGATAGAAATGTAGATCTATGGAATTGATTTGAGAACCAAAAAATAAAATATAAATATGTAAAATAGAATAAAATAAATTGATTTTTGACAATGGTACTAAAATAATTCAATGGGCAAAGAGTAGTGTTTCAACAAATGGTGCTGGAACAACTGTACATCCACAGGCAAGAGAATGAAGTTGGACTCCTACCTCACACCATACACAAAAATTAACTCAAAATGCGCCAGAGACCTAAATATAACAGCTAAAACCAAAAAACTCTTAGAAGAAAACATAGAAGTAAATATTGTGGCTTTAGATTTGGCAATGGATTCTTACAAATGAAAACAAAAGTATAAGCAAAAAAAGAAAGGTTTTGCACTTCAAAGGGCACCATCAAGAAAGTGAAAAGAGGGGCTGGCGCTGTGGCCGAGTGGTTAAAGCTTCGGTGGCCCGGGTTTGTGGGTTTGGA